TGCCCGATGACAGATTCCTTCACTTCTCCGTTGCTGTGCTCTGATCGGGAGAAAAATCCGATTCTTAAAAGGCTATTGCGCGGTATTCTTAACATCTTCAGAAATGTTATTTTCCTTCTGACACCATCCACCATGAATTTCCAGTTATATCCAAACGCTGATCCTCTGATACACATGAAATGCCAGTGATTATCGAAAGTATTTAACGCGGAGAGGTGAATATCACTAGAAAATAAGTAAATTAATAGATCAGTGAAGCTCTTTGCTATGTTTAGTATAACAGCAGATCATGGCAACAGACCTTAACCCCATGAGTGACCAAGACAGAATTTCTCCTGATAAAAATCAATACAGTATCAAGCAGACAAAAGATGAGAATAAAAAAATCAATTACAGGATTACCATTTGGTCTAACAGGAAATTCTGAAAACTAAAAATTATGAGAAATTTTTGGCAGACAATAAGATGAATTACTATCTCGGTGGTTAGTAAAAAAAAAAGTGGGGTATTAAATTACGAGCCAAGTATTTGAACAAGAGGTATTGCTGTCCCAAGGAAAATTGCTGTTCATAGGGGTATTCCTGTCCCTCGGGTTATAGCTGTCCCTAGGGGGAATTGCTTTCCCTTGGAGTATTTCTTTCCCAAGGAGTATTGTTGTCCCTAAGGATATTGCTGTCCCTAGGGGTATTGCTATCTCAAGGAGTATTACTGAGAAGCCCTGGGGACAAGGTTAACAATTCCCCGGCAGCAATTTATACTCCGAAGTGAGAGAGGCAATAACGTTACGGTTCGAACCCAGACCTCCAGATCTGGGGTTTAGCGCACATGTGTGCGGACCAATAGACCTCAGTGTCTCGCTGGGAAATACACTTGAATTTGATGACAAGCTCTGCTAAGGTTGTCAAAACGTCATGCACTACTACCGACAACAGTCTTTCCCGGGACAACTCCCAACCCGACGATCAGAGTACATAATCAAACAGCCTTCAGTGAAGAAGGGAACGCAGAACAAAATTAACAAAACTGACTTACTGGTCACTGCCATTGACTGTAACTCTATACAAAGACGGGCCTTGGATGGAAAACGCAACTCTGCTTTGTGATGGATCCCCAATCGAAAACACCGTGACACTTTGCGTGACCTCGGGGTCACGCAGTCTTATCCACCAGCATGCTGACAGTTCATGGAGTTCAGTTATATTTGAAATCACTGCGTGTGTGAAATTAGCTTTTTGAATCAAATCTATGGAGTAGTCCCATTCAGTATCTAAAACAAAGCAATGGAGACGATCAGTGCCGTACTCGGATTTATCGAGATAAACTTAATCAGAGATCTGTTAATCCTTTAACTCTTAAGGGTGACTAACACCTAATTTCCTCTTACAATATCACCCCTGAGTCAAACATTAAGTTCACGGGTATAAAGGAAATGATTACCAACTAAAGAAGCTATTGATTGTCGAATAATTTTCCTTACTAGCCAGAGGAGATGAGTTGAGAACAGTTTGGAAAATATGAATTTTGAAGAGTCAATGAATAAGCATGCTCCAGTAACGAGATGATTATAATTTCCGATATGAAAAACTTTTACAAGAAAAAAGAGATCCTTCACACCTGTCAATCCTCTGATTTTCATGGAGGTAGACTTTTTAGGTAATGAATTCATCGACCCCGAGGAAATTCTTGGACCTCTGCCTAAGCTGTTGAAGTTAAAGCCGTTGAGGTTAACGCCAGAGTTACTCATATTACAACCCTTGTACCACCATCCACTACGATACTCTTGGGAGCAACCTTCATCATTTTTCTCATCTTTTGTAGAGAATTTCACATTTTTGTGATATGTGAGAACATCTCCTGCACTCCCTGTATAAGAACCCAGGTGAAGCTCGTACCCATTCTCCTCAGAACCAATGCTAAAATAGCTATAACGCGCATGTGCTACTGATTTATCATACTCTTCGAGCTCCACCAGTAGTTCGTGATGTTGATCAGTCAGTCGGTAGATTCTGTCATTTCCCAACCAAAATTCTTGTGTAAGATTTCCAAATCCATTCTTGTAATCAGACCAGTTTCTGTCGAAATCCTCAGATCCGTCGAAACGTTTTTGAAAAACAATCCAGCCTCCTCCATTGGTGTTTTGATCGCAAAAGACGTGGAAAGGTTCTTGGCTATCGGGTTTGATGAAGTACACGCCATTCCGTTTGAAACCTTTTTCAAGAAGGTCCACACAGTCTTTGGCTAATGGGAAAAAAGCACTCTAAAAAAACCCTGAAGATTGGAAATTATTTGTCGAATGTTGCTACATCGGAGATGAGAAAGCTAATCAAACACGAGATACGTCAGCTGTGAGCTGTGGTTTGTTTGCATACACAAGCGTCACGCACAAGAATTTACCCACTAAAACGCGTGCCTGGCAATAGATGCGTGCGCATAGTTTTGGTCATTTAGCGCTGCCAAAGTAAGCCTGATACCGTCGTCATTAAGTTGAAACGCCCTGTTTCTTAAAACCCGATCATAACTCATTCCAGAGGATTACAAACTGGTTATAAGAAATAAAACATTCACTTACCAATATCCCTACTGTTTGCATAAGTGAAGAAAAGAAAGAGTTGCAAACTTCCAAGACCCAGCAAGACCTAATGGCGAAAAATACTCAGTTTGGTTGAAAATTTGTTCTACAGTTGTACAGTATAATTAAGTGATTAATGCATCCTCACTGTCTTTCCCCACCCATCCCTCCCCCATCTACCTGATTCTCGTCTGATACACATTCGTATTATAAACAGAGAATTTTCTCGAAAGGTATCAAAATAATATTAACTTGATATCTCCATCGAAACAATATATTGAACCACTATAAAGATTCCCAGGAGTTGCGAGATTAAATTCCCCCGACATAGCAAAAAGTTTTACGGATAAGAAAGAAAATATCCGGTACAAATATGCAAGAATTAGAGGACAAATGTATAAACACAAGAGCAAATTTTATATTTGTTTGAAATAGGATTAAAATGATCGAAGACAAAAATAATACTTCCCAAAAAATGATTTATGTAAAGATTAAGTTATAAACTTCGAATTTAGCGATGAATCACACAAACATCAACAAAAAGCGTCACGATGAAAGAAAGAAGATCTCCAAATACTAAATTAAAAACAAAAAAATTTTCAAAACGAGACTTACAGTTGATTACTGAAACAAAGCAAAGGTAGAGAATTAAAGAAAATTAACAAATTATTTTGATGAGTTTTATAAATCAAGATACGGAGAACTTCCTTTTAGCTTTCCTTCAGTGAGAAAAGTTCGGGTATGAAAGAATACTACTGTTGCAGGTGTTTTCCTTTATCTAGTTCAAAAAACGTAGTCAGCTAACATAGGTGTGTCGGATTCAACTTGAATCTAAGTTGCCCAAACTCATCCAACTCTTATTGAGGCAAGTTGCTTAGAGTTTTGTTTGTTTTCAGACTCTTGCGAGATGAAGATCTTCTCTATATCGAAAAGTCTAAAAAAACGTTTGATTATATAGATATTATTACAAAAATAGTGATCATTGCTCCGTTTGTGTTTACCCGTCTTTCTCTATCGAGGCTTTCGCTGAGGGACGACACCTTATTTCTGTACGCGTCTTGCAGTAAATAGGTCAATGGAATGCGATAGATGTCGCGCAAATGTTCAAAATACGCCGGATTTGTTTCAAGAATAATAGTGTTTTCTCGGTTACAGTGGGCAAAGTTTTTATAATTTAGCATATGGTTGTTGAGAAATGAAATAAGCTTCTTGCTTCTGTTATATTTAAGAAAATGTTTTCCAATGAAAAATTTGTGTTAGAGGGTGGTTTTGGTCACTTTTGCCAGCCTACGTCTTGGAGAATTACTGTCACATTTTTTCCGCATTAACATCACGGAAACAGAAAATTTAAGCTATCAGAAGGAAGTTTTGAATAATAAGAAATGCAATACCAAAAATACAAACAGAACACGACTAGAATTCACCAACTACTGAACTTCATCCCAAGTTTTCTAGTACTAGCTAGTTTGACAGACCATAGGAAAAATTAATAGACATTTTACCAAACTAAGCGTGAACACAACATTAGATCAGCGAAGATTCCTTAAAAACTGAAACCTGAAATGATATAAAACAGGCTCTTCAAAAACCCTAGTTGTCATAGACGAAACAAGAGAGTGAAAAGCGAAAATATTCTTTATGCAAAGTTAGAATTCATAATGAGAAACTGTTATTAAAACTTGAAATTGTGTTTGACTTTTGCCTCTTCGAACCCCAAGTCAGATTTGTCGAGTTTTCTTAAGATAATACAATTCCTTTCACTCTTACCTTTGAGAGCATATTAATGTTATCCAGAATTGGTAGAAGAGCTTTAGAAATGACCCAAAAGATCTAAACTTGCTTCTTTTTCGTAGGCCATGCTAATATAATAATAAATTAAAGGCATCTCTTAAGGACTCGAACTGTGCGTTTCTACAGCATCTGTTATTTTCTCATCAGTTCCGATTATTGCTATTGACCGCAAGGTCAATAACATTCAAATTTTCTACCCATCTACCCAGCTGTTTTATATCTTTATTTTCGTTATTTTAAAGGTGTTTTTCTCGTTATAATCTTATCTTGTAAAAGACGATTTTTCGTTGAGACATTTTTTTTTACAACAAGTAAACTTATTTGTAATACATCCTCTGGAACTAAATTACTGTGGAAATATTTAGACTAAATATCTTTAATGTGAATAGGAAACACACGAACTTTAATTAAAGATCAACATATTTTTCTCCAGCTTTTTACAAGGCTCCCTATTAGTCGAAGTCAATTGACAGCGAGGCCACCCTGTACAATGTATATAATTTCTTGTTATGTTTATGATGAATGCTTTTGAAGTTTCCCGCAGATCCTTTGTAAAGCGCCTAAAAACGATTGCTTCTAGGCATGTCTTTGAACAAAGAATTGCAAATTTCTCGTTACATTTTTTATTTAAAGCCTTGTTTTTTTTTACATATTTACGAAACAACAACATTGTTGTAATTCTTGTTGATTCTAAAAGCTTTCATTTCAAGTTAACTACTATATTAAGGCAATTAAACATTTATGAATCAAAAGTTCATTCTCTTTTTAACCAACCTTTTTCACGGCTAGCCTAACATTTATTTAAATCTCAAGACCTATCATGATAGAAAATTTTCCTTGTATAATTTAGTTCAGTCCAATATTCTTTAACTCTATAATAATTAAGACTTTATTAGTATTAACATTTCCAGCTGTCTTGTGCACTCATTCAAAAATACTGTGCAATTCTGAGAATGAAAGGCAACGAGTTCACGATACCATTTTCCAGTTTTCTTTCCTAAACTCAACGAATGAATTGCCTTTCGTAATGACCGCGCATACTCTTAATGTCATTCTAGAGAATTCAGGTTAGGTTACATAGCATTCTGGTTTTTATGAAGCATTTCAGTTACTCGGTCAAACCTGAGCACTAGTTTAAGCTATGACGTTAACATAAGTTCCTAACCAGGCTTCTCGCAGACACTTGGCCGAGAACAAGCCTGACCACACAAAATTCTTAACTTGAGTATTTTCGTAATTCGTAAAACCTGTTCCAGGTATAACAAAGCATTTACGTTTGCGTATTTTCTTGATGTTTCCCTTTAAATAGGCTTAAACATACATACAAACACAAGTAACCGAGAAAGGTATTGTATTATTTTAGCAAAATATATAAAAGCTCATTCGTTTTTTCCTTTTTCCTTATTCTTTCTTTTTATTTATCATACTTATTCCCAGATTTTTTTCTATGAACGTTCTTGCTCTCTTACCCAATCGAGCAAGGTTTTGTATTCTTATAGCAAAATATGTAAAAGCTCATTTTCTTTCAACCCATTTCTTGCACTCGTTCCTAGATTCTTTCTTGCTTTCTCACGTACGCATGAGAGCACTGGTAACTAAAGGGTTATGATTGATGTGTCTGCTACTCTTCAAGGATCGAATACCATATCCGAACACGTGATCGTAATATCGAGTTAACTGTTTGGAATCGGAGCCATTCCCTTGGTGAGAAGTAACTCTACAATCGTCCTGCAAATTAAACGGTGTAGTTTTAAATTTCAATACGGTAAATAGACAAACTCTTGTGTCTTACGTGGCGCTTGGATACTAGAGTATGAAAAGCTTAGAATTAACCCTTTTTCTCCCACTAATGACCAAGACAGAATTTCTTCCACATATCAATACAATATCCTAAAGACAAATGATGAGAATGAAGAAAAACATCAATTAGGGTATTTTTAGCTGATCCAGTACCAAATTCCCTAAACTCGCATCATAGAAATTCTATTGCAGACGAACCCTAACCCTATTACTCAAAGATGATCTTAAAAGTGAAAGGATTAAGCGTATGAAAATTTTGAATTTTGGAACACTTTTATTCTCCGTAAACCAGACATTCTTTCACTTATCATTGGTATGATCCGCGACCTTCTTTGCTGGAAGATTTAGTTCGGTTCTAAAACAATAGGAAGAGTACTTTCCAATTGCCTCAAATTTTTTATTTCCAGGATGTAACACGCCACTTTGAATAGAAAATATTTCATGGACAATTACTGATGTTCTGCGAAAATCATGCCCGAAAAAACGTACATCTCAAGATATATCCTATATAAATATTTACTCTGTGGGTTGATTTTACCTGATGCCATAAACGAAGAGGATGAATCCGATAAAAATTGCTGCAGATGCGTCTAAGAACCAAATGTTTGGATTCTGATCGTAAATGACGTCACTCATAGCCATCACAAAAGCCATAACTGCCTCTGCTGTCGAATTAAAGGCTGTGAAAATAAAACATACCTTGTATGAATTCAAGGGCGTTACCAAGGAGTGTTTTAAGGGTAATCACAAACCTGTTTTTGTCGGGTAAAAATAATTATGATAAATAAGGGTTTGATTTGTTTCTTTACGGGCGCGAGAAAACATCGATCTAAGTTCACCCCGCTTTGGTGAAGGGCGAACGCTCGAAGCGTCAGCTTCACCTCTCTACGGTGGCCAATTCACGTTAATAACTTAATTGATAAAACCAAATTATTTTGGGATCAATATCAGTATCTGGGCAACTGCCCACCTACCCCTCCCCTAACTCAACAACAGTCAACTGATAACAAGTTAGGGTTAATGTTGGGCTAGGGGAGGGGTAGGTGGGCAGTTGCCCAGATACTGATATTGATCCATTATTTTGTTCCACCCCCCCCCCCCCCCCTTCATCCTCCATCCCACCGACACAGCATCAAAGATTCTTTGGAAACTTACTCCCCTTTTACTCATTTGGAGAAAGAGCTTTTGTTTTCGTAAGCACCAAAAAACTTAATCAAGATATTATCGTGTGGAAGATAGTGGGATCAATAATGAGACAAGTGAGAAAGTGTAGGCCTACCGTCTGTTCTAAGAGCTCTGCTGTCCACTTTATAGGCAATAAGGTATTTAAACCAGGCCAACAACAACATGAAACCAAAAGCAGCAAAAGTTGTTATTAAAAGTGGAGTACTCTGAAAAACAAAACAAAACAAAACGAGCCAATTGAGCAAATATACTGAGAGTTTCAGGTGGATGTGGACTCCGTTGTTCAATATCAGCCGATCTTCGGCAAACAATCGGCCAATACTCGGCATTCATTCGGTAAATACTCGACTGCTGTTTTTTTTAAAGGAAATGAGCCACAATATTTTGATTTATATTAAGGAAGACTGATTAATACTTGATTGGCAGGAGGGAAAAACAAGGAAAAGGCAGTAATAAAACAGGAAGTAAAAAAGAAGTCTAAGGATGGAGAAGATTTCAAAACTTATTGTACGCTGAACTGATCGAGTCTAACATTCAGGTACCCACCCTTTTTGGCTCATTGTCAATAACCAACATGTAGACAGCTTTAGACAGGATCGCACAGCCAGACAAAATAAAACATCCTCCAATTATGATGCACGCTCTATGAAACAACGACAAATGGCATATTAGATATTAATTATTAATAAAAGTTAAGCAAATATCTACGTCGGCCACTGCCTAGTCTGAAGTGCGGGCCGTCTCTTCGCCCCAATCCCCCGAAGGGGAACCTTAGCGAGAGAATGGTAAAAGACTGGGCCAGGTGGACTTGGGAAACTGGTGCTAGGAGATGGCTGTCAACCAGCCTAACTAACAGTTCTGTTATACACTTTTCTCGCACAATTTAAAGGCAGCTGTCTTTTAATTACAGAAAAATGTTCAGAAAATTATTGAAGATTTCTCTGGATCGGGTTTACCTCGCTTTGTGACTCGTATTGAGAACTCACACCACATTTTCAACAAATCAGATGTTAACTCAAAGGCAAAAGATAATCACGACTTGGCCACGGGCGTTTTTCCCGCGCTTAGTAAATTCTGAGTGCTGATTGGTTCCTTGTGACATTCCCTTTTTTTCTGACTGGTTGTTGTGGTAACTTCGCTATTTGTTTAACGACAGACAATCGAAAAGTTGCAAATATTTATTAACAAGTTTGGAAAATAGACTTCAAAAGAGAAAGGTAAACTAAGAAACTGAGGAAACAAATAACAAAATGGCAATTACGTCATGCCTTACTTTCGTTCTCTTTCGAAAGAATATTTTTGTCCCGCTGCACCTGAGAATCTCCACACCACAACAGCGGAAGAACAGGCATCTAAGACTGCGGCAAACTGCGACGAAAAAAAACTCGTCTTAAAAATAATGCTGAAAATATTAGTAGCTGCACCTCCTACGACTCCAACGCATCTCTCGCGAGTGCTTCACATTTCAATAGACACTCAGCCGTCGCATGGAACTGACTTTAAATTACAATTAAACAACTTACTGCGAAGCCAAACGCTGCCGGGCTTCCATCCAGGGTAGACAATACTACATTTGAAAAGGAAAAGATTCTTTCAATGATAGTCTAAGGCGTTAAACGTTCAAATTTTTTAGAGCAATTACACATTCGATAAAGGTCATCCAGGCAGATTTAATTTACGTGGTAAGCCTTCATTAAAAAAACCTGTATCCCTTCCTTCCCCTCGCCACAAAATCAAGTCTTTTCATTTATATGTTATAGTGCATTCATCATCGACAGATCGAACCAACTTTTTTCACTAATAATGTCACTAAATTGTCGACGACAATTTAAATCAAAAGTGTGTTCACCTACTCAAACAAGTTCTGTAATTCAACCCTCGATATTTTGAACCCTGCACCAGTAGAAAACAATTTCCTTTTTTCGAAGAGAGTCGGAAAACTGGGATTTATTTTAAGACATCCCTACTACAGAATCCTAATAAAGGATTATCTCGATTTCCACCTAATGGATCTGATGTTAAATTGACAAAGACATGTTACATTCATCGTTTTTCAGTTTCTAAAATGTTTCAGATACGAAATCTCTAGAGGGTGGGCTAATCCCTGTCGTAGTATTACCCTTTAAACTCTAACATCGATGTACACAGTCTCCTTACTGATCTCTATACATTTTCTTAAGATTCTGACAAGGAGAATTTGTGTAACAATCAAACCCTTCTTTAGTTGATGATCATTTCCCTTATTCTCCTGGCCCTGATGAGTGATTCAGGGGCCATATTGTGAGGAAAAATTAAATACTAGTCACTCTTAGGTGTTAAAAGGCTAAGCTGTATGATACAACGCTTCCATTGGAAATTAAGGAGAGACCATTTTAATTGTCGTTATAACACAAAGATAACTGATGAAGATGATTAGATTTTTTTCCATCAGCAGAAAGCATATTTTAGCTGACAACTTCACCAAGTTGCTAACTGAACGAGGATTCATTTGTCTTCCAAAATTATTCATTGACAGTGCCGGCCCAAAAAACATATACATTATGGCGCCAGCGATAGTCTCTTACGTGAAGAGCTTTTGAAAATGTAAATTTAAAATTTTAAACTGAATTTTGGCTAATTTTTAGCCAAGTTTTTGTTTTATTAAATATGTATCGTTTTTGTTAATTTGACAGATAACCTTTCACTCATCTAATTATCGTTGTTATATTTAAAACAACAATTTCAGGGGACGGCTTATTTTAAAAGATCTTTTTGTACTTCTAGGCAAACACTGGAGAAGGTTTAAAATTTATTCACCGCATATGCAAAACGAATTCTCTTCAGACACAGCCAAACTCGATATTCAATTTTTAATTGTACTAAAAAAACATCGTGTGAAATATTAATAAACGTAGGCGATTTGTGGAGGTTAAATGCCTGAGATACTCACCAAAGTACGCTATTCCTAGGTTTAGAGTTATCGTTATGGACGCAAAGGACACAAGTAGGGCTGCCCTTCGCCAAGTTTCAGAAACATCAGTGTTAACTTTATCAAACTCACGGAACATCCCATCTGCAAGATATAAAGAAGCAAACTGATTAAAAATTCTCCTATTTCAAATTCACATAGGAGATTCTTGACGAAAATAGGAAATTCTATTGGAAAGACCTTGAAAATAGCGTAAAGAAAGAAATATATCAATTCTTTTAAAACCTGGTTGGAATATTAAATGACTAGGGTTGTTCAATATTCTTAAAAATGCTCTTTAGTTTGACGGCCGCGACAGCTTGTAGGAAGAAAGTCGAAATGTTTAAAGATACAGGTTCAAATACAGACCTTGATGTGCAGTGCGATTCGCCCTCCTTTGTCGCTCGAGATCGAATTGCCTTGAAACATTTATATATTGTATTCTGCAGTCATTTTCAGCGTTTTTTACAGCGTTGCTTTGAGGCATATTGAACGGAAAGACGCTAATCTTTTGTGACTACTGTACATCCATGAATTAAAACCGCGTTCAAGAAGTTAATCTTGTCAGAAGTAAGAAGTTCCTCCTCCGAAGAAAACAAACATAGAGTTGATCAATGTGCGTGACGGAGATAAATTCAGCACTTTTGATGTTTTCCTTTTCTTCACCAGCGTTTTGTCGGTGATAAATTTCACGAAAAAAGCACAGGTGAAAACGCACTGTATGACATTCACGCTATTAATAAATCATGGATAAATTTCATAATATAACCGAGACCACGCAGCGAGTTTCATACGTTGGCCCAATTAATTCAAAACAGTAGTTTTTGTTCTGGGAAGTCTCTAATTACGATCAGTCCTTTCCTTTGAAATGCAAATTTACTGGCGATAACACCACCCTAAAGTCAATGTTTTTAGATGAGCATTGCATTTAACCCGTCGATCCATTAGCACTCTCACGTTAGCTAAGAGTATTTCAGAAACGAAACCACCATAATAGTAACAGCTGTTAGGGCAAAAACGTCTCAGTATTATTTTATCAGATCGGTCGATGTTTTGTTATTTAATTGTCGTTCATCCGTCGATAAACGCTAGAAAAACCCTCCTTTAAATAGATAATAAGCGAAAAATAATTTGCGTAAATTTCAGCTGAACAAATACGTATTTTATGTTAGTCACTTAAAATTAATGTAACCTTTTTAAAAGTTGTCAGTTAGGAAGAGTGGATCAGTTTGTTTACTGTAAACAAAGGAAACGTGGGACTGAAAAATCACTGGAAATGCCGGGAAGATGAATCAGTAATGTAAAAAAAATTGTCATTTCTACAGAAATTGTCATTACTACAAATAACAAAAAAAAAAAAAAAAAAAGAGGACAACGCAGATTAATTATAGACAGTCGCACAAAGCCACATGCAGCGTTTTATGAATTATAGTTTCCAAGACTACCTTTAGGGTCATCAACAAACATGTTTTGCAGCTTCACTTGATCTTTGAAGCACAGCAAACGTAAGCAGTGCTTAGTGTTAATAGAGCACTTGTTGCCTTGGCAACGAAATACTTGATGATTCCGTGGGACTGATGACAGGGTTTCCTCGATGAATACACTCCCAGATTTCTTATTTTTGAAGTCTTATTTTTTACTTCTAAGAGTCAATGTGAGAGACTTTCTCCAATTACAATTTAGCATGTAAGCAAGCATTCATCAGCGCTAATATCCTTTAATGGAATTGCGCATGGGTGGCAACGCCAATAAGGACCAGACCCCTCGCAGCTTACCCAGCTCAACTCTCGCGGACTTCACGAGAGGCCCGCGACATCCCTGTACAGCGGCACATTAAGAGTTCGACAGCTGGCTACTCACATCTAAAATAAGCAAAGTAGAAAGATCGTTTTGGCAACTTCGTCCGACAACATAGAAGCTCTGAACGTCGTCATGATACAAAGATTTTTTTTCAACTGCGATGATCTTTCTTAGACCGATGAGAATATCAAAATTTGGAAACAAAAGATTTTAAAGATGGCGGATTTTTCGATCAGGATTTTGGGCCCTGGGTATAAGTACAATTACAATTTCCTTCGTTTTCGTAATAGATTCAGTGACTTATATCCTGCAGAGAGTTTTCTTTGTCGTATAGAAAACCCACAAGTAATCAGTCGTGTGATTAGAAATATCTCATTACACTGCGCCAAATACATCGCTAATAGCCATGTCTTGACGCTTGACAAACTGTGATCTGATAAAAAAAATTCACTAACAGGAAAAAGAGCAGTTTTATTAGAAAAACGTTGTTCTAATATAGTTAATTTTAAAAATTATTCTTCCACCTATTCGTTATGAAAGATATCTTCAATTCTAACATTTATATCCACTACAAACAGCGTATTTTTCACGAAGTCTCGTTGTCTCGACAACCTTTCCACAGATAAGCACAATGATAATTATTCATCCGAAGGAAAAATCGAAGACAGCGTTCACAGTCTGGGCAAACACATCAAAATTACTTCTTTTGTTTTGTTTTGTTTTTTCGAGGTTCGTTAACACTTTTCACTTAGAATATTGTTCTACTAATCGAAAAGATCTGTTGTCTTTCCCGTTGCTTGACATAATGAGTTAAAAGCTGCGACTTTGTGTTTTTATTGCGAATAAACGAACACTCCTGGTCACATGAGAGTATTTGATAACTTTATTTTTCTTGAATTTTTTATAGCAGAATCTGAATTATATTCATTCAAAAAACTATTTTGATTGGAAATCCCTCTAGTATGCTGATATAACAGTGATAGTAGTGAATATTTTGCAATTTTTTTTTTTTATCAAAGAAATTTTGTTTCCTGGTAAAAGTTACCACGAATTGCCTGCCCTTGGCAGAATTTCTGTCAGTTTCGTATCCAACATTTGAAGGACTTTCTATTTTGATCGAGTTATCGCAATATTTTAACGAAAATTCGACCGTGACTCGGTACGTTCCAGAAAAGCTGCGGTATTGTGCATTTGTCATTCAGTGAAAAGGTGATTTAATCGAAGAGGAAAATGGCTGGCCATCGAGCTGCTATTTGGCCAAATGTTAAATATATCTAAATCCAGCCCACAGCAGAATAGCCACAAAATAAATAATGAAATGAAATTCGCGCCTAGCCGACAATACAGAAACTTGAAAATTAATCCAATATTACTTTGCACTACATCCCCTTTTCATAAAATCACGTCTCAAAATGGAACGTTTTGAGTTTAAAATAAAGATCAGTCTAAAACTGAAATTGTGCGTTCATTTTAAACGCTTGTTTTATCCTGTCAATTTTTTTTAGCTCAGTTAAAGATAGCGACAGCCAAGTCAGCGAGCGAATTCGTGAAAACGGAAAATTACGCTACAGAAATTCGTGTTTACGATTGATTTGTACGAAGACATCAATTTCATGTCATGCCAGATTACTTTTAGAGAGTAATTCTTTAAAATTTTAAAATTTCGTAATGCTTCCTTTGGATGACTGCAAAAGAGTTACCGGCAATAGGATTGGTTGTGAATACCGCAATAGCGAAAAAATTAGGATCAGGAATATATAAAGGCTTAGTAACAGCAGTGATATCCGTTTCTTTTTTTTGTTTGAAGGCCAGTTTTCAACAGCAGGATTTTCATATTTCTCGTCGGAAGTTTTTAATTTTAGAATTTTGAAATGTTTAAATTGCTGAAATAAGTTAAATTCAGTTACTGACTTCGAAACACAATAGCTTTATGTGCCATAAATCACTTTTGATATCTTGGAAAAAGAGCAACTAAATCTATCGATTCTTCTACCTTCTAATAGAAAGGAAAAAACTTACCAATTTTTAACCACGTAGACTCGATGAAGAAACGTTAAAAACAGATTCAATTTTTCCTATGATATGATATCTTCCTGTTTAAAGGTCGATCGTCATGTACCGAGAAGACTTCTCGTTGTTATCGATCACACTCCGTCAAAATATAATCAGCTGTCAGAGAATTATAATACTTATCTTCAAATGAATACATAATGACTAATTATTGTTTGGAGAGCGCATTAGTTTGTTTTAGAGCTTGTGAAACTAAAAGAATACTTTGCCAATTCCAGATGCGGGATGCGTGTGATATAGACTAAGGAAGTAGAATATTCAAAGCACTCTTTTCCGCCATTTTCGAGACAGATAATCAAAAGCTGGGATAACCATACTTCTTTTTGTAACCAAGGTTACGGATACGTGACTAACAACAGACTAATCAATGCAAATAAAAGCAAATTTACAAAGCGGAACTTTTTCAAGGAAGCTAGTAATTTTCCCATTTTTGGCATTTGGGAATTAAATTTTTGGATTAAACCCCGTAAATCGAAGGAATTAATTTCTCTATCTCCATCCCTAAACCTCGCTACAATATATTTTCCATCTGAATTAGTTTAGAGAGTTTGGTGGGCTACGGACTCCTTCCTCAGACCTGTGAGTATTTAAACATCTGTTATGAAACCAAAATTCTTCCAAAAACAGGATCGCATATTGCTACTCGACTTATAGTCAATTAAATGTTATCATATCGAAATATTTACATGTTCATTCGGATCTAGAGGGGAAAAGTTGTGTTTATTGAATCAAGGTACGGGGTTCCCACTTCTCCTGCATCAAAATTCCCTAAATCCACACCTAGTTGAACGAGTGTTGAACAGTGAGGCCATTCCCATGGGCCTTTTGGGTAAATGTACGTATCTGAGTAACAACGCACCTATGCTATTGGTTGACTGTTGTTGGGTTAAGGGAAGGGTAGGTGCGCAGAAAATTGAAATTGACCGGGCCTTCTCATCTCTATAAAGGAAAAGTTGTTGTTTTATTATTTTCAAATGCTGCTGCATATATGGTACAACATCTTTTGTTGGAGTTGTGAAAATGAGATGAATTACATTGTTTGTTATTAAACAATTTTGAATGAAGAAAGGTTTTGGAAATAAACGAGACCCGGATATTTTGACTCCACTCAGTTTCTTCGCATATTCAGGCCAAGGGCATGCAACTTGTCATAATAATAAGATGAACATTTTGAGACATCGTCATCTTAATTCAACCATAATACGTTCACATAGCCATCTAGGGCAGCTTTAAAACGAAGTGTAATCTTAAGTCGTGGTTCCAAAAAAAATTAGTAGAACAAAAGAGTTTAATTTATTTTATGAAATGGTTGTTGACGGGAATAAATGTTTTTTTGTTTTTCTTTGTTTTTTTTTTTCGGTGCTAGCCGCAAAACGTTTTGACATCGTTGAAAAAATTCAAAGGTTCAAGAAAACGTGGGGCTCAACTCAAGGTGATCTCTACAACGTGGTCTTGCTGGAGAACTGCTAAACCTTGTGGCAATTAGCGTTCATTTGAAGGCCCTCTCGTATTTGTTTTGCGTTGGACAGCCTCCGGGGATCTTTTCTTACTTGCCGACAATTCTGTCTTTCCTCGACACAAATGTCAACACAACACCGTTATACTTACAACCTGAGTGAACCATAAATGAGCGGAATGGAAATTGATGTCGAGTATACATTTCTAAAATTATCCAAACTTTAAAGTTTGCTCTATGTACGAAAGAAGTTTTTACTTACCTCTACTCATTTCCGTGTCAGCGGAAAGCGGAAAAAATTCCCTCGAAGCTTTCTTTCAATTTTACTCTTTGTGGCGTTACTATCTGTACGAATTCACGGTCAACCGGCAAACATCAGTCCCACATCATACCCGAAACTTCCAGTCTTCCTATCTGCAGTTGCACACTGTATCACTGAGTACTGAGTACTTCGAAACTAAAACGGCGCAATTTTCTATTGCTTCCAGTTTCCTCGTTTACACACTTACCAGCAGATTTGTTATGAAAGAAGGTAAACTTCACTACTTAGAATGATTTGGCTGACAAGATTAATTCGTCACCTTTCCTGAATAATAGTCAGGCCGTGAAGTGTGAAACTCGATATCTTGGTTGACTAATTTTCGTCTCGAGTGCAATTTAGTATCACACATCTGACAAAAATTAATAAAGGCGTTAATTTTGTAAAATGAATGAGGCGAGCATCACAACTGACAGCTATTTAGCATGAGATTATTCAACAGCAGGGTGTTTACTGATAAGCTTCTGGTTCCTCTATTCATTCAAGAGAAATTAAAGAAGGTGGGCAATGATATATTCTCGCTGTGACTGATACAAACCTTTGCCGACGTAGGTTATATTGAAATGTCAACAGTGAAAGGTATATCTTCTTTTTGCGGCCAAATGATTCATTTTTTCACAGGAAGTTTCACCCCGTCATTTTGTTATGTAGTACTGCCAGCAACCTTTCAATCAAATTAAATCGGATCGCATGATACAAACAGCTGCACGCTATAAAATCATGCTGCTGGACAAATTACACACGTCAAAGGGATCCTTTCGAACATAAATTGACAACAAAATTTAAAAAAGCCGCAAAACTGATTGAACTTTTTCACAGATTCCCAAGTTCCATAATCAACATATTTCTCTTTATGTGGGATAATTTCACCATCATAATAAGTCTAGTTAACCGAAAATAAAAAAAATATATTAATAAAAATAAAAAACAGGCAACAAAAGCCTCCAAAAATAGCTAAACAGCTGACACTTAATGGTCATCTAATTTGCTTTCGTCACTGACGTGGGAGACACAATAAATATTTAATAAATAAGGCTACGTCACATTTCCTGAATTTTCTTAAGTGTAAAAATAACTTAAAACATCCTTACACATGAGCATTGAGTTCTAATTTCTTGCAATTTTTGTTGCCTTAAGAAGGCACAAATTGTGAATATATCACCTCACATAGTGCAAAGAAATCACTCATAAATAATATCGCCTAAATGAGTTCTTATTCAAAAAATATTGAACTTGATAAATAGATACACTATGTACAAATCAAAATACTTGGTTATAAATTACCTTGCCGATGCAAATAGAAAGTTCTACTCACTGACTTTAAATTAACCTTAACGCCATAACATCAGTTTACAATTCCTATCACCTCAATGTTTGATTTAGGGGTGCTAGTCTTGGGAGAAATTGGATGCTTATCACTCTAAAGGGTTGAAGGGTCAAAGAGTAGTTTTAGGCCGATCACTGAGATGGGATGAAAATAATCAGCTCAAAGCTGTGATCCAAAGTCGATGAAGAATCAGTGGGTGAGTGAAAACTTTTCTCTCACAAAATTCATGTGCCCAACTTTTAAAAGCTTTCTAATAAGAAAACTGATAAAAGTTATCCACAGGTTGCTCTTACTAACCCAGCACCTTCAGAGCACAGCCCCACAGCTAGAGATTTTTCAACTTGACCCTCTAACACTCCTCTTTCTTTTTACACACAAATAAGGAAACAAAGTGACATCTGTGGGCCAAAGGTATTCATGTGAAACATACAGTTCTCAGGAGCATTGTCCTTCCTAAATTTTCTCTCCTCATTCCTCTCCATTGTCCTGGTCTTTAATTGAAGAAAAGTGGCAACAGGACAGGGAATTAATCCCTTACAGAACAGAAGCTTGACTGTGTAAAAACTAATTTCCAAGAAAATTCACCTGCCTGGCTGGTCAAGGTTCCCCCACTATTTAAGGGTGCTTACAGTGTACTAGTCGAATCCTTCCCATGTGGGGGGAGCTGCTTTTCCTTTTGAAGAAAGAAGATTTGCTAATAACCTGTTAATAGGAGAAAAATGAGAGAGATTGGTTGATAAAGTCTAGCTTTAGATACAGAATATACCTTGGCCTACATGTAGCTCCTGTTTGAAACTGTTGGGGGGTGGGGTATTGCTCTTTTACTGCATAGCCTCTCCCTACCCAGGAGTATAAATGGGTACTGATGAACTGTCGGGAACTATTGGGCTATTGAAGGGGGAGGTTTGAGGTGGGTGAAGAGCAATACTCCTCATCCGTTCATACCCACTGTAGTAATGTAACCAAGATAAGCCCTTGCAGAAATGGGAGTCATCATACCCTGCCAAGGAAAACTTAGCTCTCATGCATCAATAGTGAATATAGCCCATGACAGTAGAACATAATATTGTTTCAGAGTGCTACTTACCTTATACCATAACCAAACAGGCCTAAAGCAATGCAGAGAGCAATAGATGCATCCAGATACCATATACTGCTGCTGTATTGATGGACCATTGTACTTATAATGATACCCAGTGCCATGATTGCACCCGCTGTAGAATTAATGGCTGAAAAGGAAACCATAGAGTGATGTAAATGAGATGCAATGATGTCAGTATTGTAACACAATGATCACTAATATTTAGGTAAGCAGTTGGAACCAAAAGTTAAGTGGATTGCAGGCCCTGGTTGTTCAAAGGTTGGATAACCCTATCCACCAGATAAATCTCTATACCGTGGATAATACTATACGTTTTGCTATCACTTGTCCGCTGGATGATGATTTATCCGTTGGCTAATGTTATCCACCCTTTATAAAACTGGGTCCAGTACTTTAGGTTGTGGCACTCACTTTGTCCCCCCCCCCAGTACATAAACCCAATCACATAAATATTGTAACTAATCCAAGATGATAGCTCCCAGAAAGCTTGATTTTGCCTTTAGCACTTGCATAGTATTGTATGAAATACACCTGCTTGATATTTCAGGATTTTTTTTCAATCTTGCTGATTAGATAATGAAAGTACATAATCATTTGTCCTGAATCCTTTCCCCTGAATCAACAACAACAACAATTTAAATTAATTCTTGATAGCAGGGTTGAACCTTTTAAAAAGGTTTGATCCCCTATTTAAAATGTTAGTCAATTAAGAATCCTTGATTCTAAATCAACAATTTTAAAATGCTCTTTATCAAACTGGAAATCATGCAAATTTAATTTGCATTTTAAAAATTGCACAATTTCATTTCACCAAGTTAACCCTTTAACTTCCAAGATGTCATTAGTAATTCTCTTTACTGTCTGCCATACAGTTCTTGTGATGTTAGTTTGGAGAATTTGATATTGGATCAACTTATAATCCCCTAATTGATATTCTTCTTTATTCTCATCACTCATCTGCTTGATATTGTATTGATATTGTAAGGAGAAATTCTGTCTTGGTCACTCATGGGAGTTAAAGGGTTAAGAAAACAGAGTCAGAAGGATGCAAGATATTTCTATTAATAGGAATAGTCAGAAGAAAAATGAAATACACCATAGTGTTTTGTTCTAACCATACCATCAGTTCGTAGAGATTCACTATGTAGTTTTTCAGCTGTAACAAATTTTATCCAGGCTAAAATTGTAAACGCCACTAAACTGACACCAGAAATTGCCTCAACACCTGTGAACTACATTAAACAAATGTACAGCATGTGAACTTTTCATTCTGTATAAGGTAAGTCCTCTAGAATTAAGATCAGCATCTTTTAAGAAGAGTCACTTATTTCAAATTTACATCAGTTTGGGATGCAGATGCCATAAAATTATACACTCGTGTGAAGTACACATAGGGCGTCTGAACAAGGCCTCAGGCATTCACCCATTTCTAAAGGAATTTAAGTATAATTATGTGGGGTTGGATGAGGTACAGCCTTGAAAAGTAAAAAGAATAAAATAATAATTATTATTATTATAATTACCAAGCATGCACTGGGTTAGAACCCACAAGGGATGGGGAGTCAAGATTGTTCCCAGAATAGCCAAAGAAGAAAAGCAGACAACAAGGTGAGCAAGGCAGGCCACACCTGCCCACAGCTTGAAGAGATATGCCAACTGAGGTGGTAGTTAGTTTCCATTGGTTATGTTCCTCTGGGACTGGGCAGGAATGAGCCAAGTCAATAAGAAAATTGACTAATAAAAGTTTCTAAAGAACTGTGGTGCTGAATAGGCAGGGGAATTTAGCATTCATGATAATTTGGTTTTATCAATTGAGTTGATAGTGTAAATTGGCAATGTTTTGAGTGCTATCTTATGGTCAGGGTGAATTGCAAAGGGCCAATGCTTGCAAACCTCAGCTTTGAAACTCTACTGAGGCCAATTTACATTTTCAACTCGGTTGATACAACCAAATTACTTTGTGAAACTCCCACACTGATGCAGCTAAAAACCAAAACCGAAGAAGGTAATTGAATGAGGTGATAAGCTGTTACCTTACCCTTATAGGATGCTTTTCCACAATCAATGACCTGACTGCTCTAATAAATATTCCAGTACCAGATAACACAAATAATGCAGCAATTGCTATACATGCCCTAAAAAGAAAAAAAATATTCTCAGAGAAATAAATTTTTTGATTTTCTTACATGATTATTTACATGTACATAGATTTGATCAGGTTTACCTTCTTTCTCTTTCCCAAGAGTAAGTTTGTCCGGCTAAACCACAGAATCTCCAAATTACAACCAATGATGAACAAACATCTAGTAGTGAATCAAACTGAAAGAGAAAATTAAAGATACAGTCAGTCAGATTGTTTCATGCCGAAGGTGCAACAAATGGTTTTTTTGCTTAAGAACAAGGCAACTTACAGCAAAACCAAAAGCAGCTGAACTTCTCGCCAAGGTGGAGATGACTGTGAAAATAGATAATTTCAATTCAACAAGACAAGAAACTAATAAAATCAGGGAGTTATCAAATTTGTTTATAAAACATACTCATACCAAATGCACAAACTCCAATCACAAAAGTTGTAAACACAGAAGCGTATGATATCACAAGGGCTGCCTTCCTCCACCTATCCATCAACTGTGTTGGAATCTGCTTTTCTTTATGGAGAAGATAATCTGCAAAGAGAAAATGAATAAAAAGAGTCAGTGCTACTGACAGCCCACCAATTTACATGGTTAATTCTCCCCTCTAGCTGCAACACATTTCCTTGTAAATTGGTTACAAGAATTTGGTGTTCGATCAAGATAACATCATGTACCTGATAAGTTTGAGTATTCTCACTACCAGTCTGCTAGATAATGTATGGATACTCTAGGCAGAATTTACATCTTAATCACTTCTGGGAGTTAAAGGGTTAAAATTTATTAATATTGTAGGGAGAAATATGTTTGTCATAACATCACAGAGTGAAATGGTAATTACAAAGGTTCTAGATGTTTGTTGTATTTTATTCAAAATTAAAATAAACATTATATGCTTTCCTCAAGATGAAAAAAACATACAAAGCAAACATAGTAATGGTCAGATATCCAAATAAATTATACTGTATGAAGAGGAAAAAGGCTTCCCTAAAACTAAAGAAATTTTTGCAATAAATCTGCCAATTTATCACAGCTTAAGAAAACTCATTAATTATGAATATCACAAATCAAAGGAAACCAACCATGAGTAAAGCTTCTTTGACCACATCACCATGAACAATTGAAAGAGTTTAAATGAAATTGAATTGACAAATCTGGTGAGAAGTCAGACATTTGGTTAACAGATGTTACAGCTTCTACTGGTTTAATTTTAATCCAACTCAGCTTTTATCAGGACATTTTAAGCTTTGTCATTTAATGGGTAAGCCCAACAGAAACAAATCACAAAAATTGAAATTTTTGCATATAACCAAGATAGGAAAAAAAATTACTTCCTTATAGAAAAAATGTTCCGGCTTTTAAAGAAACTTGCGAAATAACTTGTAATGCGACAACTTTTACACTAAATAAAATTTATCGCCTCGCTTTTCCAAACAGATGGAAAATTTCTGATAAACACTTTACAATATGAAGACCACAGCTTGAAATAAAGTTATCGCGTTTTGGAGAAATGTCAAATTGCACACAGGTTAATTATCATTTTAACTGGAAAACCACTTGAATCTCTTTGGGGAAGTATTAATGTTAAATAAAATTTCATTAATTTTTAAATGTGGTTTACGAAGGGCGTTCAAACGTCATCTTCTCGGAATGAACACAATTATAATATTATTCAGAATTGACTTTTTTTTAATCGAAGGCGACCTCGATATCAGCCGGATTCTTACAGGTGTTGTTCGCGAAAAAAAAAAGACTATGTCGAGATAAAATTTCCTTCGCTCCGAATCGGCCTCAAAAAACACTATCCTTTTCGTTTATTTCCTATGCCTGCGTTTTCCTGAGTGGGTCAATCAGAATTAACTAACCATGGTTAAAATTGTAAAGTGCAATTATTTTAAATTTAGACTAAATTATTCCATTTGGATATTTTCCTAAAATAGAACAGGAACATTCAAATTTTCTCTTCCGTGGATAATAAATAAAACGTTCCTAGTGCATCATGAAGCATCAATCATATGATGTCATATTTTGAAGTGTGAAAACTGAAGAGGCAAACAAGGAAAAACACGAATCTTAGCGCTTCAAGCATAGACAGATCTACCAACTTCTCTGCAAAATATTCGGCATGATCTAGGCTGGTACCGACTTATATGACGCAAATCGAAAGCTGTTGAAAAGCAATAAAATTCTTATTGAATAACTTTCACAAAAGTAGCCCGAAATTAGCCCTCTCAGCTGTCAAAACAAAATAATCGTCCGATAGTTGACAAATTCCCGCCGAGATTGTCACGAATGAAATCAATACACAGTTCACTCACCGTCATCCATGGGCGAAATACAAGGAAATCCTTCCAACTCTTTGGGTTTTTCTTCAGCATCACTGACGCTTGTTAAAAGGACGGTCGACGTCCCGTATTTGGTTGTATCTTCCATGGCCATTTAAGCAAATCGATCATTCCTAACACTAGGCGACGTCCATATCGACTATTAATCCCTTGATGCAGTGAATACACATTTTAAGCGTCGTCCAAACTTTCCTTGGAAGTCTGGGTAATTTTCTCTGACTTGGGGGTGATCTGGGAAGAGGACGAAAAAATCAAAACTCCTGATCTGATTGGTCAAAACCTGTGATAATTTCAGAAGTAATACGTATGAGAAATTCTCCGCCTTAATGATCTTCTGACGCGAATCCTGTACTTAAGGTACTCAAGGAGCCCTGTGAATCTTGTTAATACGAAGAGATGATTTCATCCAGTTATTGTTTTAAGGCGAAGAAACTCTTGATTTCAATAAACTCAGACTTAAAAAGGATTAGTGGGTAAATATATTAGTGGAAAAAAATAAGCATTTGCAAAAACTGAAAATAAACGAAGACCAAAAACACAGAACTTCAACGGGGTAGCTGTTACGTAAACAGCATGAGTGACGACCAAATATTTCAGTGGGTGACGATTGCGTGACAGTTTTCCAAAGCAGGTACAGGTAAATGATTTCACATAAACCAACAGAATAATGATAGAAGAAAGTAGAAACCCATTTCACTCCCGAAAAAGAGAGTTGTTATTATGGTAAAGCCTTTATGCATGCTACCGAAACCTTTTGTTGTGGTTCAATTTTATCCTTGGTTCAAATTTTACTTTCTTTTGTTTTTGGGTATTGAAATGTATGATAATGAGTTTGAAACAAAGGAAAGAAAATTTGAACCAAGGATAAAATTGAGCTACAACACCTTTCCTTATTGGGACTGGGATGGGTTAACCCCCTCACTGTTCGAGGAGGTCTGGGAAAGAGGCCCGCGACATTTCAGTTCTTGATGTCGAAAACTTAACTTTATTCGTCTCTGGAAGGGTGTCGTTTCATCCCTCTTGAACCGGAAATTAATGTACCCTTAATATTTGTTTAAAATCAAAATCTTGTGTTTGGTATTTGGAGCTCTACTTCTCAGCAAACGGGGGAGTTACAATCTCTTATTGGAAGAGATTGTGAATGAACGAAAACCATTTGTGTCACTGAACAAGATCGAACACAATTTGGCTGGCTGTCGGCTTTTAGGAAAATTAAGTTATTGTTGCTCTTCTGTTTGTTGTTTAATAACTTGAAAAACAACAGGTTCTTCAGCTTGTTTGGTGATGTCCTACGTTCGTATTCTGGGTGGAACAGCAGCAGTTAGCTGCAGTCTTTATGCATATTACAGATTTCGTGACAATGGAAGACAGGTTTGTGAAATAAATCGATTTCTTTCTGCTTAAAAAAATATTGAGGCGTCCTTTGAAAGGAATGCGTTACATTTGGCCGGGATTAAATACAATAATGTTCGTTTTTATGTCCATGACTTCGACTCCACTCACAAATAATCCTTTATTTAGCGATGCAAACAATAAAATATGGTTAGATGACTGCCCGTGTAGCAAGGAGTTATTGTTATTTCTAGCTGTGTGGTAATTTACACATGTACTGCAAGGGTACAGCTTGTTAAGGTCTCTTGCGTGTATGCGAGCCCCTTTCTTTCCGAAATGAGTGATAATTTACGATGCTAAAACAAGATGGCATATCCCTCAAAGGCAAGTATAACGACACTGAAACGTTTTCCCCGGCATGTATCCCTCTTTGATTATGTACTGCCAGGTTGAAGTAATAAACTTTACAAAACCTTACATTATTTCTTTTACCTGAAGTGCTCAGAAACCATTGGTTATGTGAAGTTTCATGTAGAATTAAAAAAAGGCTGTGTTAGTTTTACATTGTAGTTATGTAAGATGTGGATCAGATTACATGAGAACTGACCAAATCGTAGCATCTAATTTCTTCCTAAGATAACTCCCCTGAATCACAAATTAAGGTCAGGAGAATAAAGGAAAAGATCACTATCTTAAAATGCTCTTGATTATTAAAAAAATTATCCTTATCAGCTTCTTAGGAAATTTACTGTTAAAGAGAGCAGTTTTGTCCAAACATACATACTGATGTTAGGATACAAAGGGTTAATCCTTTAACTCCTAAGAGTGACTAACATCTAATTTCTCCTCACAATATCACCACTGAATCACACATTAATGTCATGAGAATAAAGGAAATGATCACCAACTAAAGAAACTCTTGATCATTAAACAAATTCTCCTTGTCAGCACTTTAGTAAATATACAGAGAACAGTATAGAGAATTTGAATACTGATGTTAGGATATAAAAGGTTAATTTAATATAAATCTTCCCTGTCATTTAGAATCCTCTGCTGTCAGTGTCTGCAGCAGAGCCAGCTGTGGCTCAGAGACCAAACAATCCATTGCCATCCAGATCAGTCCAAATTGACTCCTTGAAAAACACACCAGAATTTGATGTTTTAGTGATTGGAGGAGGTGCCACTGGATGTGGAGTGGCTCTGGATTCTGTCACCAGAGGTACAAACCTGAAATAACAGTTGAAATGCAAATTTTATGGAAAGCTAATTTATCCAGGATGTATTTTTGAGGAAGAGTTAGTTCCTTACAATGTGCATGTGGAGTTATGCAGCTGATTAAACCCTTTAACTCCCAGAAGTGATCAGCATGTAACTTCTCCCAATAATATCCATACATTAACCTGCTTACAGATAATAAGAATACTTAAACTAATCAGGTGGAGGTTGTTATCTTGATCCAACACCAAATTCTTGTAACTTATTTTCAAGGAGATGTGTTGCAGCCGAAGGAGAGAATTAACAATCAGATCTTGGGACTTAAAGGGTTAAGGGTTTTGGTTGTGTTGTTCATTTCATTGTCAGATAAATGAATAAAAGGAGTAAATTTCTAAAGAAACTGTGGCGCTGCATCAGTGGGGCATATTACAAGATATTTTGGTTGTATCAACTGGGTTGATAATGTAAATTGGCCACCATGAAGAGTTTCTAAAGCTATTTTGATTGTTGGCCCTTCCTTGAAGCAAACAGTTAGTTTCCTGAAGTTATTTTTTCCATAATGAACACTTTGAAGAATACTGATCTGTGTGGATTAATTCCTTAGGGTTAAGTACAGCTTTGGTGGAAATGGATGACTTTTCATCTGGAACAAGCAGCCGCAGTACCAAATTGATTCATGGAGGAGTACGCTATCTACAGAAAGCTATCATGAAGCTGGACAGAGAGCAGGTCAGACCTGTGGATTCTTATGTAACAAAAGGGATTATTTCATCTTATGTTAATCTAGTGAGGTTAAGATAGATATTATGGCAAATTTATGTTGTATATAGTTTATATATATATATTTAGATTTAATTTATTTTTCTTAGCTTTTTGAAAAATAATGCAATAAAGTTGTTTATCTCTAAGGTTACAAAGTAATTCATAATTTGTCTTTACATTTACAGTACCGCCTAGTAAAAGAAGCATTACATGAAAGAGCAAACCTGTTGGCAATTGCTCCACACTTGTCTGCACCATTACCAATCATGTTACCTGTCTACAGGCAAGTTCAATGTAGAGCATGTTTTACGTTAGAGATTTCTCCAAGAGAACCTTGTCTCTAACAAGAAGTACATGTAATGGTGTCCTCCAATACTTGGTATTTATAGCTCAGTGAAGCTGTAAAATTTATTGTAATGGGTGTAAGCAGAAGCTTTTAATTTAGGGCTTAAGTTTCTGGTACAAGTTCCAACCATTTAACAAATATTTTGACCCTTAGGTGGTGGCAGCTTCCTTACTTCTGGGCTGGACTTAAGATGTATGATCTTGTCTCGGGGAGACAGCTTCTCAAGAGTAGCTACGTTGTTGGGAAGCAGAGGGCCTTGGAACTTTTCCCAATGCTCAAGAAAGAGAAATTGTGTGGTGCTATTATCTATTACGATGGTTAGTAATTAAAAATATGTCTTTCAAAACTGTCTTTACCAGATTGCAATAGCAGTATGAAGTAATGTGATAATTACACCTTTGACTCCTTAAGAGTGACTTGCATCTAATTTCTCCTGACAATATCACCCCTGAATCAAACATTAAGGTAACAAGAGTTTAGGAAATGATCACCGACTAAAGAAGCTTTTGACTGTTAAACAAATTCTCCTTGTCTGCACAATAGAAAGTGTATAAAGAAAAGTATGGAGAATTAGGATACATTTATGTATACAGAAGTTAGTGTATAAAGGGCTTAGTTACACATTTCTGTTGATATAAAGATTGTCAAGATTGCATCCACAGGGCAGCACAATGATGCAAGAATGAATCTTGCAATTGGCCTGACAGCTGTCAGGCATGGAGCATCAGCTGCCAACCATGTGGAGGTCCTGTCTCTCCTTAAACAGAAGGGTATGTTCTGTTAGTTTTCAAATATTAGCAATCATTACTGGATTTTTTTTTCGGAATGGTACCATGTTGTCTGTTACAATAAGGCAGGGGATTGGTGATTCCTAATATCCCAGAGGGCTCTGGTTATCCAAGGGAGCTCTGAATATAATAACCATGGTATCCTATATGCAATTTTATTACATTAAGTGGGATGAGACTGAAAGATTATGTCTGACGTACATGTACAACCTGATTATGCAGCAATCTATCATTGCTCCTTACCCAAAATGGGCTTAAAAGTTTGTATGCAAGTAGTAAACAGACAATCCAAAGGTTTGTCTGGATAATTATATTTTCCACCGCAGCTCATTTACATATGAGGGGTATATCCAGTCCCTAACAAGAGAAAAAGCAGGGAAATATAGTTACAAAACAAGAGGGGGATGCAGGGGAAGGAAGAAAGGACCTAACCTCTCACCCATCATCCTCAACTCCTTCCCAGACCCCTGCCAAAAGTTATTTGCTTGCTTTTGCACCTGCCATCTTTGACTGAGAATCTGATGCAGGCTAATTGTACTAAGACCACAGAACTCAAATTTGTTGAAATTGTATTTCAGTGGAAGGTGCTGAGGAAGAAAGAGTTTGTGGAGCTCATGTAAGAGATTTGATTTCTGGAGAAGAATTTGACATAAAGGCTAAATGTGTTGTGAATGCAACTGGTCCATTCACTGATGCCATCAGGAAGATGGATGAACCAGCGGAAAAGAACAT